ACAATTCAAAATAATAAAACAAACTGCGGTTCTTAAATTCGTTAATTGCACAAAGACAAACATCCAGACGCGAAACAATAATGTGTAGGCCATACAAATATTTGTTCCGTGCGAGGTTCGAACTAGCAGCCGCTAGCGCCGTAAATCATTGCTAAACCACTGCGCCACAGAGCCGCAATATGGAAATTACCAATCTATGAGGCCTATGTTCAGCAGTGGTCTCTTGATAGTCTGTAATTAATGCTACAATTAATAATATATATGACAAGATAAAATAAATAAAAATAAACAGAAATGCTTATCGTAAAAACTCTAATGATCTATAACGGGATTAATTGGTTCCACGAATAGAGCACATTGACGCCCCGATATAAATATAAGCGGAAGAAGCAGGCGCGCCTCACCTGCGTTGTATGAAGAGGCTTACGAATTTAACACTGTTTCCTTGAGGTTTCTATTGCAAACTACAAACTTTACGGTTTGTTATATAAAGGTTTGAAAGCGGTCAGCTCTCGAAACTCTTATGCATCCAATAGTAGTTTTTTCATAGAAGTAGGGTGAGAAACGAGCACACAGTCCACCTGATGGTCAGAGTGATGACGTAGCTCACTTGACTTTCAAAAAGCACTTTGTAAATGCTATTCGGGTTTACTACTTTTTACTATTACTAACCGCAGTGTATCATCACTATTAAGTTGTTATTGGAAAGTTGCTTCTGCTCAACTTTCATTTCGGTTTCCATCTATAGCTTCTTAGGACAACGCGGGATGATATGATGACGTGAGAGGATCGATAACGCCCTTATTTATTAATCAGCTACTTCATGATTTAATAAAGAATATAGAACGTAAAAATAACTATCTAACTAATTTCTTATTACATTATATATTTTTTTTACTTTTTAGGTAGCTATTTACGTAGTAGAGCCATGCTGCAGCTATATTAGTAGTATAGTTGTAGCAAGAATGGGTCGGCTCAACCGAGGAAGGACCACGCTCTCACAGAAAACCAGCGTAAAATAGCAGCTTAACGCTGCTGTGTTTCGTATGGTGAGTTTAGAGACCCGGAGACCCTTTGTACTGGCAAAGAGGCATTCCATCTTAGTCCTCACGGGTGGCAACGCATCTGCATGTTGAGTCTTTATTGAGGATAGATGTAGATGTCTATGGGTCACAGTAACCACTTACCATCAGGTGGACTGTGTGCTCGTTTGTCACCCTATCCTATAAAATAAATAAATAGCTAATAAGATCTTTCCTTTTGTTTTGGTGTTCTTTATGAAAGTATTACATAAATATGTGTATCCACGAGAGCTGCTGCCGAAAAACTGTGTTCACAATTTGTCGGCAGCATAGTGTAGTGTTTCTATGTATTATGTACTGGAAGCAAATAAATTTAAAAAAAATTACCTATGGGTTAGTGGATATTCCTAAGGTAAATTTAAATTTACTATACAGGAAAATTATTATATTTACCTGTATAGTAAATTGAAACTGTATATTATTATAATTTATTTAAATTTACTATACAAGTAAATTTAAATAATTATTATTTTAAAATTATATTGCCACCGTGACCATAGGTACTTCAATATCGAAAGTAAGTGAATTTAAATAATCTAGATTAAACGCTATAACACCCTTGACGAAAGAATGAAGATAAATAAAAGTAAATAAAAAACAAATCATCTTCTCATCTAACTACGCAATTAATGTTAAAAGCAACACTGTGACGGAATCAATGGCGAATTGGCTTAGAAATGAGTTGCGTCACTGAGGGCCGCGGGTTGAACTCCCGAATGGAATAAGTAGTTGCAAGGGCTACAAATAATTGTTCTGGTCTTAATGTTTATCCTTGTAAAATTTATGTATATAAACTGCCTCCACAGAGGCTTTGAGGCTATGAAGGGGGCCTATGTTTAGCAGTGGACTTTAATAATATGTTGTAACAATAATGTATGTACACAAAAACTATTCTTTTTATTAAAAATAGTGATATAAATACGAGCAAATTGATGATTCTGTAAATACTAACAAGCATAAGTTAGTTTTATCAGTTACTCGACTCCAAAGAGTAATTCCATCATGGGGTAATGTATACGCCTTTACAACAAAGTCCTAGACAATATGCAGGACTTAAATATCAAAAAGTTTAAAATTGTTTAATAAGAGTTATTAAACGAGCACACAGTCCACCTGATGGTAAGTAACTGCTGTGGCCCATAGACATCTACATCTATCCTCGTTCAAGAACCAAAGGCGGATGCGCTGTCTTCCCTAAGGATTAAGATTCACGAGGCATTCCAGTAAAAGAGTTCTTTAACCAACTTCAAGCAAAGAGGCTCACATTTTGTAATTATATGTATCCCCTTGAGGTCTTAACACAGCAGCGCCGGCGCTGTTCTTTGATGTAAGAAATAAACATGGCGGTGAATCTGCTCTATTATTTAAGGTTAGCATTATTCAAATTTCTGCAAAAACTTAGAGCAAGGCAATGTCTCCCGTGTTGCCCTCAAGCGTTTTCGACTTCATGTCTTCGAAATATAAAGATTCAGGTTTCCTCAAGATGTTTATCAAAGTTTATTGATGAACGTAGGCCTTCCAAATAGATTGCCTCACATATTTGCCATAGCTGCCACGCTTCACAAGCGGGTTGGCAACTGCAGGATTGTATTTTTAGGCGTTATTAGGAAGATGCGGCTTTACATCTGATTTGTTTCCTCATTTAGAAACACAAAAAATTAAATATAAATAAAAATTTTCATGAAGAAAACTATTAAATGATACCCTTAAAACTATTCAGTTTAGTGTTATTTTTAACTATTTATCGGCCACAGCCTCAGGGTACATCGCGAGCATGTGTGGTTAAAATTTGTCCAGATTTAAAATATAAAATAGATAATTAAAATATCGTTGTGTATCTGAGTAGGTATCCACCTTCTTATCTATATCTTCCAACAAGCGGCAAGAGAGCCAGTAGTATTAAAGGTGGTGAGCATTTCATCTTAGTCCACAGACAACTTATCAGCCTTCTTAATTGGTTGCAAATGTCCATCTAAGTTTTACAAGTTTAAAGTTTTTTTTTTTAAAAAACGTTACCCCACACTAGGATTTCCTCCTGTATCGTGGAGGCAGTTTACACACATAAATTGCACAAGGACAAACATCCAGTCCCGGAACAATTATTTGTAGGCCATACAAATACTTGTTCCGTGCGGGAATTGAACCCGCGGCCCCCAGCTCAACAACTCATTGCTAAGTCACTGCGCCACGGACCGTCAATGCGCTGCTCATTTTCTATCAGGTGGACAGCTCCTTTTTCATTTCAATTTTATAAAAATGTATATGAAGAAAATACGTTTTTAAAGTATACAAGACATTTGCGATTCTCATTGACAGAGATATTACTAGCATTATCAATATATGGCAATAGCGTACCGTAGCTTATGTAAATGTTGCATAGGTAAATGTTTTTGCGTTTCTTTGCGCTGGTGAGCTTGTCACTCACCACGGTACATGCTGAGTATGGCCTATTTATATATTTATTCTATAATAAAAAGCCCCTTATATAAATGGTTCATTAGCTTGTTTAAGCCGAAGTAAACAGGACACTGAAGTACATAGACCGTCTAGTCTTTGTCGCTAACACCTAGTAAAAATATGATATTCCACGCCAGTCAATCTAGAAGACAAGAATAAATGGCAAGGTGATATTCTCTGCTAGTCATCCTAGAAGAAAAGAAAAAAATGCCAAATGCTAGATGCAAATTTGTTTAGAACGTACAGTAGATAAAGATAGAAATTAATCTCATCTGTTATCTACTTAATGAAATTAACTTGACGTATTAATTTTTATATTTTTACAAGTCCACTGCTAACCATATACCTCTCTCATATCTTATATCTATAAATTTACAATTGCTTACACTAAAGTTGTTAATAAATTAAAATTATGCTTAAAAATGTACTTAAAACTATTTTTTTTTCATACGTATAAAGCTTTGGAAAATTGTGATTATAGTTACATTGGTAGTTTTTAAAAAAAACTAATGGAATAACGAAATTAATGAAATTAAGTGAGATACTATTCGTGCTAAAGTTGTGTAGAAGTACATAAATAACGCTTATGATATTACGGGATTCCTAATAAAAAATATTCCTATTGAAAAGATAATTTTTTGGAAAGAGAGTCAAATCTTACGCATAATTTTTAATATCAATTGAAATATTAATGCATGGTTTTTTATTTACATATTTATTATTTCGTCAGTTTGAAGCAAATTTTTCATTTCACCTATTCTAAATATTGTAGTCTAGATTGTAAATTTTTACAAAGACTCTAACTACTCTATCTTTCCTATACTTTTTTTATATAATAGGATGACAAACTAGCACACAGTCCACCTGATGGTAAGTGGATGGGCTATAGACATCTCCATTTATCCTCAATTAAGAATCAAAATGCAGATGCATTGTCACCCCTGAGGACTAAGATGAAATGCCTCATTTCCAGTAAAAAGGGTCTCCGGTTATCTACACTCACCATACGAAACACAGCAGCATTAAGATACCTGGTATTCAGTTTGAATATAAAATCATTAACCAATTTTTCATACGTTTACGTGTTAGTTCATAGCAATAAGTACCGGTTAACCGCTCTATACAAGTCTTGGCTAAAGCAACAGCTTAACGCCTGAAATAGTTTATAGCGGCTCGCGCGAATAGATAAAGCATTAAAGGATATAAAAGAAGGCTTCGTCTATGGGACAGAGCCTGCACTAGAACCTACTAGTGAGTATAAAAACCCTAAGAGCGTAGAATAGTATTGGGCGGGCGGGGAGCGAGCTGGGCGGGCGGGGCCACGCCGCGCCTTGTATGGAGCGTGGCGCTCGCGGCTGCCGCGAGTATATAAGCGTTCGGTGCCGCTCTCCGCCGCACTCGCAGTCTCGCTGCCGTAGAGTCAACTTCCAGCGCGTCCCGACAAAAACACAAACCGCAAAAATGTGCGACGACGATGTTGCTGCGCTCGTAGTGGACAATGGCTCCGGTATGTGCAAGGCCGGCTTTGCCGGTGACGACGCTCCCCGCGCCGTGTTCCCGTCCATCGTCGGTCGCCCACGCCACCAGGGAGTGATGGTCGGTATGGGTCAGAAAGACTCCTACGTAGGTGACGAGGCCCAGAGCAAGAGAGGTATCCTCACCCTGAAGTACCCCATCGAGCATGGCATCATCACCAACTGGGATGATATGGAGAAGATCTGGCACCACACCTTCTACAATGAGCTGCGCGTCGCCCCCGAAGAGCACCCCGTTCTGCTCACCGAGGCCCCCCTGAACCCCAAGGCTAACAGGGAAAAGATGACCCAAATCATGTTTGAGACCTTCAACTCACCCGCCATGTACGTCGCCATCCAGGCTGTACTCTCCCTGTACGCCTCTGGTCGTACCACCGGTATCGTTCTTGACTCCGGTGATGGTGTCTCCCACACCGTCCCCATCTACGAAGGTTACGCCCTGCCCCACGCCATCCTCCGTTTGGACTTGGCTGGTCGTGACTTGACCGACTACCTCATGAAGATCCTCACTGAGAGGGGCTACTCATTCACCACCACCGCTGAGAGGGAAATCGTACGTGACATCAAGGAGAAGCTTTGCTATGTCGCCCTGGACTTCGAACAGGAAATGGCCACCGCCGCTGCCTCCACCTCCCTCGAGAAGTCGTACGAACTTCCCGACGGTCAGGTCATCACCATCGGTAACGAGAGGTTCCGTTGCCCAGAAGCCCTCTTCCAGCCTTCCTTCTTGGGTATGGAATCTTGTGGTATCCACGAGACCGTGTACAACTCCATCATGAAGTGCGATGTTGACATCCGTAAGGACCTGTACGCCAACACTGTTATGTCTGGTGGTACCACCATGTACCCCGGTATCGCCGACAGGATGCAGAAGGAAATCACCGCCCTCGCTCCCTCAACCATCAAGATCAAGATCATCGCTCCCCCCGAGAGGAAGTACTCCGTATGGATCGGTGGTTCCATCCTTGCTTCCCTGTCCACCTTCCAGCAGATGTGGATCTCCAAGGAAGAGTACGACGAGTCCGGCCCTGGCATCGTCCACCGCAAGTGCTTCTAAGCATCTCGTTGACCCTTGCGCGGCCCCGGGGCCCGCCCCCGCCGCGTGAGCGAGTGCTGTGTGTTGTGGTGCTCTCGGTTCCAATTTGGAACGCAAGCATTTTGTACGTTGTACGTAGTGATACCTGACAGAACTGAACATCTAAATATAACGCCATCTATTCTAATGTAATTTATTGTAAAATTTATATAAATTTAATTTTCTTTTTTTTATTTTTATTATACATGGGATCGTTATGGATCTCAAGCCAAAATGTAATTAATAAATAAACGGTTAATTTATTTATTTTAATTACATAATTTCTTTTTATACAGTCGTTGACTTTAGTTTTTGATTGATACAATATCCGCTACCCTAGTTCCTTCATACACTACACATATATTTTTTTCAAGTGTTACATTAATTTTTAAACACAATTTTCTAATTCATGCCTGACTGAAAGTGGGTCAGCTCTGATAAACAACAAATTAAAAACAATGTTACGTCAAATTCTGCATTCATTTCAAACCAAGAATGTTTCCCTGGCCAGTAAGCTAGAACGAAATTAGAACAGGCAGTTACCCCACACAGAACAAAATTAGCCACAGTATGCATTACCATAAATAGTAAAGACAGCTCCCGCGTCTGAAAACATTTTCTAATTTTATCAGAATGCCCTACAGCACAAGTTGCCAAGCGAACGTGATCCTAGAGTATTTTTAATAAGCGATAATTTAGTATAAACACAGCGTTTCCGTAAATACCGAGCTCTGCAAAGGAGCCAATGGTTTAATATTGCTATTAATACACTGAACTCCCGGAGCGATGCTGGATACAGACTTAGCGTGAGACATGGTGTTGGCATGATGCGATTTCTTTACACGCAACTTGCAAAAAGTGAATATTTGGCAATGTTGAATAGTGTCAGTACCTTATCAAGTCAGAATGTTTGTAATTAAGTGGGCAAACATCTTCTGACATAATATTGGACACATCGTTAAATAATTATTTGCTTTCCCTTTCAAAGTGTGGTTGAGTACGATAGTGAATGTTAATGAAGGAATTTATTTTTAGCTTTGCATATGGTTAGTTGGAAGCTTAAATTTCATCGGTCAGTGTTGGCGCGCTGTGCTATTTTGGAAGTAGAAAAGAGATCGCGCATAGCGGCGCTTGCCGTAGAGAACATCTTTATCGTTCGTACGTACCTACGTAATGTCCACCTAATATGAAACAGCACTTAAGTATCTTTAAAGTTATTTCAAATATATGAATGCATTTCTTATTGAAATTTCGATTAAAATTCGTAGCTTTTGAACGCTTTTATTTTTAATACAGTCTTTGTTATCCAATATGTAACCCTGGATCGTGTTAATGAGATATACCGTCGCTATTAAAACTTAATGTAGTATACACCACGTGTTGTTTAGCACAATCAACATTATCGAATTTATTTAGTATTGTACAACGTTGTGGAATGGATTGTTTGTTGTTATTTTAAGTTATGCTTCAATACGTTAGAGTTTAAGACGAATATGTAAATGCACATTATTTTCTCCAGTTTTTTTTTTTTTGGTTTCATTTTGTCAAATAGATATGTTACAAACGAGCCAACATGCCACCTGATATTAAAAGACTACCTGGTCACGTCCTACTTACTTCAAACAAAAAAAGATATAGATACCTTGTCAAATTAGAGGCCAAACCTAGCACCTACGAAGGTATGTCCCATTATCAGTAATTAATATGTAAAGAATTTTCCCTTTAAATTAATATATCAATAATAAGACATAGGATGCACTGCTGCTTAGTGGAAAAAATTGGTAAAATATAAGCTATGACCTCAAACGACATTGATTTACAAACAGATAACACCATCCTCCAATCCAATTCACTTACAATAAACAGCGTAAAGAATCGTGAATGAAAGAATCTTTATAATGTTTTCATATCAATTTCAAAATTATAAAAAATTTAACGGCATTATTAGCAGACAATTTTTAAATGTGATTTTCAGTTTGCATGAGATAACATCTGTATCTAAAAATATTACAAGTTCCCTTATAATTTGGACGTTGTTGCTTCTCAATAATTATAACTATTATTCATCGCCTTGTTACGCGATATTAACGTTTCGTCATACCCGTATAGAGTAATGACGATCAGCTGAGCAGTGGAGTGACTCAAGGTACTCTCTTGGCACCACATGTGTTCCTACTAAAGTATCTGTAGCCAAAAACAGTGTACGGTCGTGAACTGTTACAATTATTGCCCTATTTATTCTTTAATGTGCTTACATACGTCACCCTGATAAATGGGTCACAAATGGCTCCACTAGTTTTGAGAGAAAGATTAGTCATTACTCTAATTTTGTTGGGACTTTTGATAAACATTTATTGAAGAGGTATGGATTAGTAGTCAACGTACTTGTCCATTGAGTTGTCAGGCCTAGGGTTTAAATTCTTTGAAATTATATCTCCTTATAGATACTGAAAACAGTTATTAGAGTGCCATAGAAACGTAAAGACGTATGATGAGCTGTATTAAATTTTCAATAAATCGTTATCAAAGCCGTATGCTGGTGGCATAAGAGTATACATCACCCCATTTGTTCTGTAATAGTCATAGGAGGCGACTATGGGAACACCAGAAAAATTTAATGGCTACCAATAGAAGGGGGTACAACTAGTTTACTCCAGATGTAAAATAATCTCTTCTTCTTATAGTTACAATTTTACCATATAAATGTATACGGTCTTCCAATAGTTACAATTTTACCATATAAATGTATACGTTGTAGAGCCACGCTGCAGCTATATAGTGATAGTAGCATGCATGGGTCGGCTCGACCGGGGAAGGATCATGCTCTCGCAGAGTACCATTTGTTATAATAGCTTAATGTTACTGTTGGTGGGGATGAAATGATGACCCTTATTACTGATAGAATAGAATAGAATTTAATCAGTTTTATTCAATATAGATTATAGTACATAATACTTACTGAAAGTATTTTTTACTTTTACCACTGGTTCGCAAAAAAGAACCTCTATCCTGAAAAGAACCAGCAAGAAACCCAGCGGGACTTTTTTTAAAAAGCTTATACTTATCTTCACGCACAATCCCTGACGGGGTAACCAGAGAGAACAGATCGCCAAGTGTCACGATCATTACATACCTCTTTCGCTTCTTTCAGATTCATTATCTTCTTCATACATGCACGTCTAGGTATCCGAGTACTCTTGACCCTACCCTCTTCGAGCAATTTGCTCACATGGTCTTCGAAAGTTAGTCTCGGTCTACCTCGACACTTTTTAATATTAACTTTCGCGCTATATATTTTCTTCACCATTCGGTCTTCACTCATTCACTCAACGTGCCCAAACCACCGAAGCACGCCCTTATCAATTTTTGTGATAAGTCATCTTTCAAACCTGCCATATTGCGAATCTCTTCGTTTCGCTTTCGGTCGGCCATGGTAACGCCGCACATTTTACGAAGAGATCGCATCTCCACTGCATTCAACTTGCTTTTATGCTTCTTCTGGCATACCCAGGTTTCGCTGCCATATAACAAAGTCGGTACCAACACTGCGTTATGTATTGCAAGGCGTGCACTCTTCACTACGCCTTGCCTTTTGACTAACGCAGTCAGGGCACCATTGACTTTGTTCCCGGCAGCGACACGCCTGTCCACATCTAAATCACATCTTCCATCCCGGCTAAAAGCACTCCCCAAGTATACAATTACATTTACTTGTTCTAGACATTCCTGATTTACCCATATTTCACACTTCGTTCTCTCTTCGTCCCTTTCAAATACCAGACCTTAGTTTTAACCTTAGTTTTATTAGCATTCAAATGGAGACCTTTAATTTCACATTCCTCTTTCATACACGTGACTAATGCCTGCAGTTCTGCCTCTGATGGTGCAATAAGCACTGCATCATCAGCATACAGCAGACAATTTACTTTTATGTCACCCAATTTCAATTTTTTAAAAAGCACAATTTACAATATAATATTTTATACAATTGTTATGAAAATATTTAGAAACAGCATGGTAGTGATTACCTCATTCCCAGGTGTTATTATCAGTTATGTACTCTGTAGTAGTATAATAACCCTTACTAGACAATTTTTGCTTAATAAATAATTTAAACCTTTTGATAGAAAAGGTCTGCATATTCTCTGGGACTTTGTTTTAAAAGCGTATACATTGCCCCATGAAGGAATTACTAACCCTTTGGAGTCGAGTAACTGATATAACTAACTTGTGCTTGTTTCTAGTATTTACAGAATGTACATCACTATTTTTAATAAAACTAGTTTTGTTTTTGTGTACATACAATATATTCCCGTAAATATATTGAGAGTCCAAAGTTTATATATTTATTTCTTTAAAAAAAATTCTAAGGGATTCCTCCGGATCTAGGCTATAAATTGCTCTTATGGCTCTCTTTTGCAAAACAAAGATAATTTTAATGTCAGTCGCATTACTCAATAGCAAGATTCCATATGGCATTATGCTATGGAAATAACTAAAATAAACTAAACTAGCTGTTTCAACACACATGTAAGGCATCTAATCTTTTTTACAGTATATGCTGCAGAACTAAGTTCGCTAGCTAGTTTAGATATATGAGGGCCCCATTGAAGCTTCGCATCAACTTTTATTCCTAGAAAAACAGTGGATTCAACAAGGCCCAGCTAATCCCCATTTAAAAGCACATTGGTATTCACCTGTTTAACATAAGGTGTGGGGAATTTAATATATTTCATTTTATTACCGTTCAAAAGCAAATTATTAACGTTAAACCAGTGTAATTAATTAATTTTTATAATAATAATATATTATTATAATTTTGATATAGCATTATTCACTTCGTCATATTTCAATAATTGCCTTTTTAGTCGGAAAATCAACGAAGTATCATCAGCAAATAAAACTATATCATGTTTATTTCCTGTCAAGTAAGGTAAGTCATTAATATAAACTAAGAACAGAAAGGAACCAAGAACTGAGCC